GGAGCAGCTCAGTAGGGGAACAGACTGCTGAGCATCTTCCCTGCTGGCACACTAATTGCATCCCTGGGTCCTGCACGTCACCATCTCTGTGAGGACTGGAGAATTCTCCAGCTGATAAGGGCTGTTATGGCCATGCTGGGTCTGCCTGATGAGCTTAGATTAGATTGAGGACTTGGAACCAATTTGTGCAAGCCACCAAGACGGCAGCAGCCCCTTGGAACCTTTTCAGCGCACAGAGGAGTAATGTGAATCCTCCTTTGCACAACCCCTGCCCACTTTTCATGGAATAAAGCACCTGGCTCACACCAATAAGGGGTGAGGAGGGGCTGCCTCTGCCCAACTACTTTGCAGGGGCTGGAATAGGGCTGGTGCTCAGCCCACATCTGAGCCGCTGATGGAAATCCCGTGTTTGCAGTGGGGAGGCCACAGCAGCTTCCTGTGCTCTGCATCCCCTCCCTGTGTCCCTGTAACACCTGGACCTGGCCCAAGCAGGATGGCTGTACACTGCCAGGGCCAGCAGGCTCCTGCCCCCTGTCCCCAAACTGCCCTGTGCAGCACTGGCACCTGGCTGTGCCCTGTGCCACGTGGCTGTGCCCCATCCCCACACCCTGTGGGAAACCCCAGGGAGGGGAAGGCCAGAGCCTGGCACTGTGTCACCGCTTACTCATTTTGAGGATTTCCAGCTCAGAACAGCCCTGATGCTGGAAGCATCGTCCCTGGCCCGGAGGTAAGTTTCTCTTACTCAGAACTGGAAATGAAACCCAATGGGGCGGTGATGGAGCTGCAGTGTCAGCCCCCCAGGCACAGTGCACAGTGCAATGGAGGAAAGAATTGGTAGAGCCAACATCACTGCTCACAGCAACTCGCCTCAGCCTGGCTCCATGGTATTGTGTAGCTTGGAAAAGACCTCCGTGATCCATCCCCAAGTCTATCCTCAGCCCACCCCACCGTGGCTACTGCACACATCCCTCAGTGCCACATCTGAGAACACCTTCAGGGACGGTGACCCCACCACTCCCTGGGCAGCTGTGCCACTGCATTATCACTCTTTCTGAGAATAAATGTTTCCTAATATCCAACCTGACCCTGGTGCGGCGTGAGGCCATCACCTCTCATCCTATCGCTGGACAAGAGACCGAGTCCATTCTTGGGCAGTGTGGGGGCCTGCAGGGGAAAAAGGGACGTGCCCAGCTCCCAAAACCGGGAGAAAAGGGGAAAATATCTCCCTAAAGTCAGCAAAGCGTCACGAGCCCAAGCACAGACTCAGGGCACTGCAGGAAGCGAGGTGTGCCGACGCGTCCCGGTGCCCCGGGTGCGCTGCGCCCTCCCCCCGGGCCGGGATCCCGGGGCGGCAGCGAACCGAAAGCGGCGTCAGGAAAGGGAAAGTGAAAGGCCGGGTCCCGCCATGCTTTCGCTTTCAGGGTCGCCGCACGCTCCCGAGGGCGGCGGGACCGGGCCGGGCCGGGCCGGAGCCGGGATGGCGGAGCCGGGGTCTCCTATGCGGCTGAAGGAGTGGCTGATCGCGCAGATCGACAGCGGCCGCTACCCGGGGCTGCGCTGGGAGAACCGCGAACGGACGCTCTTCCGCATCCCCTGGAAGCACGCGGCCAAGCAGGACTACCGGCAGCAGCAGGACGCCGCTCTCTTCAGGGTACGGCCTCTCCCAGAGCCCCCTCGGAGCCCCTCCACCGGCCTCGTGCTCTCACTCCCCCCTACATCCCCGCTGCACCGCCCCGTGCTTCCCTCGGATCCCCGCCTCGCCGCTATCTTGCAGCCCCCCTAATCCCCGCAGCACCGTCCCTGTGCCCACCCGGTCCCCGCTGCTCAATCCCGGTGCCCCCATCCCCGCAGCACCGACCCCGTGCGTCTCCGCTCCGCGCTGCGCTCACCCCGTGCGCCCCCCGACACCGTGCGCAACCCCGGACCCCGATGTTCAGCCCCCGTTTCACCCCCCGAGACCCGCGATGCCCAGCCCCTTAGCCTCCCCCCATCCTCTCCGCACCGGCTCCGTGCCCCCTCGAACCCCCATCCCCTCCAGCCCCCAGCTCCGGGCTCCCACCCACCCCCCTGGACTCCTCCCATCCCCGTGCCCAGCGCAGCCCCTGCTCTTCCCGCAGGCTTGGGCCGTCTACAAGGGCAAATACCACGAGGGCACGGACAAGGCGGACCCATCCACCTGGAAGACGCGGCTGCGCTGCGCTCTCAACAAAAGCACCGACTTCCAGGAGGTGCCCGAGCGGAGCCAGCTGGACATCTCCGAGCCTTACAAGGTGTACCAGATCGTGTGCGACGGCACCCGGGATGCAGGTACCCCCTGCCGGGCTGCTGTGCCATTCCCCTGTGTCCCACATCCTATAGGCATCACTGTTCCGTCCCCTTCCTCCCCCAGTCCTCGTCCTCTGCAGAGCTCAAGGTTGTGCTCAGGCAAAGTGCTGTGCTGGGGTCAGGACTGGGCTGGCTTTCCTCATGCTGTTTTTGGGGCTCAGTGTTTTGTTCCCTGTTCCCTGCAGAAAAAGATGAGAAGGATGGCAGAATGCAGCCCACAACCAGCAAGGACCCACAGGTGAGTCATCCCCCACTGGGGGGCTCGTGGGGAGGTGGGACCCCAAATCCCTTCTTCCTATGTCTGCTCCCCCTGCCCGCATCCAGCATCCATCCTGGTTTCCCATACCTGGGGTCCAGGGGTAGCAGAAGCTGGTTCAGGATCATTCATTGCCCTCACACACTCTTGTCCCCAGGGCCACATGGCCGAGGAGAGCCACCGAGGCACAGCAGGAACGTGCCACATGCCCACATTACCCCTGCTAACTGCCCATCCAGCAGAGCGAGGTGAGAGAAGGGCCCCTGTGATGTGAGGGGCACAGGGTGGGACTGAGTACGGGTACAATCACGGCTCTGCAGGAGCCACTCTGCCCTCCTGGTGCCCACACCACCTCCACCCCAACCCAGGGTACCACGTGCGGGGAATCTTCTACGGCTGGAGCCCGATCCGCAGCCACCTGCTCCCCAGGGCCCCATCCTTCCTCCCTGCCGAGGATGTCAACCACTCAGGTAGGAGCTGTGCCAGCCAGGCTGCAGCCCCCCGGGACCCCCAGCCCCACACTGACCCCCACTTCCTGCAGACTGCTGGCTGCACATCCGCCTGTACTACTGCGACGTGTTGGTGAAGGAGCTCACCACCCGCACGGCCGAGGGCTGCCGCATCGCCTCGCGAGCCGAGGGTCCCTACGGCCCCTCCTGCATGGAGCAGATCGAGTTCCCCCCACCACGTGCACTGGGAGGTGGCGGGTGGACAGTCGCTGTGACTGAGGTTCTGGAGAGGCTGCTGCCCCACCTGGAGCGCGGGGTGCTGCTGTGGGTGGCCCCCGAGGGGGTCTTCATGAAGCGGCAGTGCCAGGGCAGGGTGTACTGGAATGGGCCGCTGGCCCCACACCGGGACTGGCCCAACAAGCTGGAGAGGGAGAAGACCTACAAGCTGCTGGACACGCAGCAGTTCCTGGAGGGTAAGTGCCTGCCTTGCCACGCAGCCCTGGGGGCCGTCGGCCCCATCCCCATCATGGGTCCCATCTTTGGGGGATTGCTGTGGGGCTACAGGGACGGTCCCAACCCCTGCGGTGTTGCAGAGCTACGCAGGTACCTGAGCCACGGGCAGCCAGCCCCGCAGTACCAAATCCACCTGTGCTTTGGTGAGGAATACCCCACCAGCACTGGCCGCCACCTCCAGAAGCTCATCATGGCCCACGTGAGTACACACAGGGCTGCTGACGGCTGTGCCCATCAGTGGGGCGATGGGGATCCGCGGTGCCAAGCATGGACCCCATCCTCCCGGCAGCTCCGTGTCCCGTAGGTGGAGCCGGTGTTTGCACGAGAGCTCTTCCACCACGCCCAGCGCCTGGGTCCTGCACTGATTCGGGGCTGCCCCCAGCCCTGCACGCCCGCAGCCCCCGGCCGCATCGCCCACGTCCTGCAGCAGCTCTGCCAGCCCTGAGCCGGGCAATTGAGGGGACACGAAGCCTGAGGACACGGCGGCCGCCCAGCGGCGAATCCGTAAAGCCACAGGGCGTTTAGCAGGGACGGCTGCAGATGGATGCTGGCTGGAGCGGGGCACTGCACGGAGCGCTGTATTTATTCCCCAAGAGCCCAGCGGAGGCTGCTGCGTGCAGTTGTGCCCAGCAGGGGACAGCCAGCTCTGTTCTGGTGCCTCGCACTGTGGGGACTTGCTGTTTGTGAGCTGTGGAAATAAAGGTTGTGTTTCGGTACCGCTGACTGCAGCTCTGGGGCCGGGGCTGTGCTGCGGTGCAGGCTGCGGGGGAGCTGAGTGAAGCAGAGCCAAGCACTGCAGGGACATCAGGAGCTGAGCACTCTGTTTGGAGCCACGCAGCTCCCGCTGCACCGAGCCTCATCCTTGCCTCTGCTTCCCAGCCCCTTGGCAGGGCTGTGGGTAGCAGCGAGGTGCTCAGGAGCCACCCTCACCACCGGGCACGATGCCCCAAAAGCACTTGCTGCCCATGCCTCAGTTTCCCCCAGCGGTGGGTGGGGGGACTCACTGGGAGTGTGGGGTTGTGCTGCACCCCAGCGCTGATGTGCCCAGGCAGCTGGGCTCGGTGTGTGCACCCAGCATGGCACGGGGACCTGGCTTAGAGTGGGGATGTGGCACAGAGCAGGGACACGGCACGGTGCGGGGATCCACACCACCCCAAGGACGGGGTTGCCAGGGAAGCCCCATCCCCACCCTGCAGCCTCCCAGCCCACAGCACTGCCCCACTCCACACCACATCACCACCACCCGGGGCTTGGTGCTGCGAGCGGGCGGGACGAGCCCTGTGTCCCGGCAACCTCCCGTACCCATTAAACCCCACAGCAGTGCCAACCCCAGTCCGCTGGCTCCCAGCCCCGGGGCCGGCCCCGGCTGCGCGTCCGGCCGCAGGGACCAGCGCTGGACGATGGGGCCCCGCTCCGCCCTGGGCGGCCCCACGGCACCGTAGAGGAGGGGCCCGCCGCCCCCACACCGTTGGGGCGTTTTAACGGGCTCGGCCGGAGCCGGGCAAGCAGAGTGAGGACGGCAGGATGCAGCCGGAGCTCCCAGTCGGCTCCGCAGCTCTGCGCGGCCGCACGGCCCCGGACAGCCCCTATCCCGGCCCCTCGCCGCCTGCGGAGGCCACCAAGCCTCCCTACAGCTACATCGCCCTCATCACCATGGCCATCCAGAGCACTCCTGAGAAACGCATCACTCTGAGCGGCATCTACCGCTACATCATGGGCCGCTTCACCTTCTATCGCGACAACAAGCAGGGCTGGCAGAACTCCATCCGTCACAACCTGTCGCTCAATGAGTGCTTCGTCAAAGTGCCTCGCGACGACAAGAAGCCGGGCAAAGGCAACTACTGGACTCTGGATCCCGACTGCTACAACATGTTTGAGAACGGCAGCTTCCTCCGGCGCCGCCGCCGCTTCACCAGGAAAAGGGCCCTGCGGGACGGTGAGGGGGATGAGGGACGCAGGAAGACCCCCAAAACCCGCTCACGGGCACCGCTGCCGGACGAGGGGAAAGCGGAGAGCGGCTTTGCATCGCCAACAGCAGAGCAGAGAGCAGAAGGCGTCGGGGTGCCGGGCTGCGCCGTGCAGATCTGTGCTCACCCGCAGCCCAAAGCGCCATTCTTCACCAAGGAGCCGCTTGGGGTCCCCCAGGAGAGCCACCTGCCCGCTCCCCCCCAGCCCAAGCAGACTGCCTTCGGGGGACCCCCGGCCGCGCTGCCGCTGCCCCGGCCAGGTCAGTACCCACTGCCTGTAGAGCCCGGCCACCCCGCACAGCGCTCCCCGCACCACACTGCGTCCCCCCCGGGTGATCTGGAGGGCAAAGAGCCGGCGGCCCCCGCCGTGGGGCTGGGCCAACCCTTCGGGCAGGTGTCTCCCGTCTTCCCCAGCACCCTGCTGGGCACGGGCAAACCCCCCCCATCTTGCTTCCTCGACGGCGATGGCTACAAACAGCCCCCCCTGCCCGTGTTCGGCTCCTTTGGCCGCGCGGGCCCCGAGGCGCTGGGGGGCAGCTACCAGTGCCGGGTGCAGGCGCTGAGCTTCTGTGTGAACGAGCGGCCGTGCGGTGCGGCGCTGGAGCATCTCCTGGCTGCGGCCCCCACTGCTGCCACCGCCACCCCCCCAGCCCCCCGCCAGCCGCCCTTTGGGGTGGGCGAGCAGAAGGAGGCGTGGGGCACGGGGGGGACGATCCCGCTGCAGGGGGGCGGTGGTTACCCCTTGGGGCTGCCCCACTGCCTCTACCGGACGCCTGGAATGTTCTTCTTTGAGTGATGGACTGACACCTCCCTCCCCACCCCCCGGCACCATGCGGGGCTCCAGCTATGGAATAAAGCACATTCGCCCACGCTGCCTCTGTGTCTCTGCGACCCGCTTGGGGTGGGGAGCAGGCAGGGTGCATCGGGGCCACTCCGTTCCCAGCCGGATCGCTGCTGGGACACGTGTCTCTGTGGCCACCCACTGCGGCTCTCCTCCATGAGGACCCCCCTTCTGGTGCTGGATGGTCTGGCATCCCCAGAGATGATGGGGATGGAGCCCCTTCGTGATGCAGCTTTGTCCTGGAGTGACAGAAGGGAAGCCTCTCTATAAGGGGCTGGGGACCATGCTGCACCACCCTGGAGCAAACTGTGCTCGCTGCCCACAGCCTGCACTGCTCACACATGGTTTGCCCCATATGCTGTGCACGGCATGAGCGGTGCTGGCCTCAGTACCCATGGAGAGAGCCACTGGGGGTGAGCTCCGTGGGATGGGGTGTAGGGGGAGATGGGGCTCTCCCTGCATGGGGCTGTCTCCCTGCCAGGTCCTCACAGCACTCCACAGAGCTGGGCTGTGCCAGGGCTGCCTGCAGGCATGGCTACAGATGGGAATGGCAAGATTCCTCTGACCTGAATCATCCCGGGCGGCTGCTGGTAAGGAGCATCGCCTGAGTCACCACTGCTGGGCTCGGCACGGGCTGGGCTGTGCTGGGACAGGGTGGGATGGTGTCCCAGGTCAGGATGTGGCTGCCAGCCCCTTTCCACCCACAGGGCCCACTTTGTAGCCTAGAGCAGGGGCTGGCGAAGTGGGGACCTGTACCTGTGCCTCCATCCTGTGTCCCTGGGAAGGGGCCCCCAAAGAGGCAGTGCCCCAAGGCTGTGGGGTGCAGGTGCACAGGGCTTGCACCTGTGGGGTACAGATGGCGTCCATGTTTTGCATGGGGGGCGATACTGGTGGAAGGGCTCTCCATGATGTTTTGGGGATGGGTGTATAGCAAAGCTCCTTGGCCCCCCTAGGCAGGGTGATGCAGCTCAGCCGGGCCCCAGGGTCTCAGCGAGGGCCAGCCCTGGCGTCACTCAGGGACCAGAGCACCGCCACTGCGTCACCCGTTATCAGCCCCAGCAGCCGCTGCCAGGCCATGGCTGTGTCCCAACCCAGGCAGGGCAGGAGGGGCCTCTGTTCATCATCAGCACAACAGCAATGGTCTCTGGGTTGCGGGCTTTGCTTTTCTCCCTTCTTTTTTATTTTTTTTTTTTTTCCTTCCCTCCCCTGTGGAAAACAATATTTGAGTGCCTAGATCATGCTGGCGTCTCCGGAGCCGTCTACAGCGAGCAGGGCTGACCTCAGCCCCCTCCTTCACACGGTCCCTGGGGGCGCGGGAGGAAGCGAGCGCCGCGGAGTCGTGCCCAGGGGCCGTCTGGTTCCCACACCACGCAGCCAGGACGCCCGCCCGCTGGGCTCCTGCCTGTGCCTGGGAATGCATGGCCGCAGCACCAGCCCTGGGAGCACTACGGGAACCCATCGCTGCCCCGCGGCACAGACCCTGGCATGGAGATCCCATCCCCGATGGCTGTGGGTCACGGGAAGGTGCCCGGTTAGCATGCAGTGGGATGGGTGCCCCCGTGCAGGAAGGAAGCAGCGGGGCTGCGTGGGAGCGTCACCCTGAGGGTGATCCAGACCCAGCCCTGAAGGCTGCACCCTCAGCATTGCTGCTCCCTACTGGGATGGGGTGGGGCAGAGCCCCACTGCCTCCTCTGCCCAGATGCGCTGTGTATGGACGCCCTCCCTCCATTGCCCCCCATGCTTGCAGCTCCCACCGTTAGCTCAGCTCTGGCCATGGCCCGCTTCTCTCCCTGCCCTTCCTCCCCCCACCTCGCTGCCGGCTCACTGGGTGGCCTGGCCCTGACCCACTCATGTCTGGGACCATGCTGCAGAGGGTGCTGGCATGGGAGCACAGACCCCCAGCTCTGGGCAGTGCTGCACTGCCATGTGCTGCTGCACAGCATCGCCCTGCTCACCTTCCTTCCCCTCTGGGGCTACCAGTGGGGTCACAGCACCAAGGGACCCCCGTCTGACGGGAGACTCACAGAGGCTGACTGCAGTGAGAGTGGTGCACCAGGTTAGGACTGTCTCCATCTCCGTGCCCCCAGCAGTGATGGAGATGCAGTGGTGACCCACATGTCTAGAAAGGGAGAGGAGGGGGCTGCAGAGTGGTGGTCTCCATCACTTCACACCTGGACTGACCGCCCCACATCATCCTGCTCTGGGGCAGCCATGGCCCAGCCGTGCTCATCTCCGAGTGCTGCTATGGTAGGCTGGCTCTGTGCCACTCCCACGCAGCTGCGGCTGAGAACTGGCACCCACAGCACCCGTGGGCACCGGGGCTGCCCCACAGCTCACCCTGCAGCCCCCGTGGCCCAGGGCAATGCATGGCTCCTGGGGCCCAGACAGGAAGGAGACGTCACCGCCGCGGAGAGTAACTCAAACCAGATGGGGCTGCGCTGTTCTCCAGGACCGCAGGGTGGTCACCGGCAGGAACTGGTCAAAGGCTGCCGGCAGGAAGCGGGCTGGGAGGGACGCCCTGGGCCCAGCAGCAACCCTGCCTGCTCTGCCTTAACTGCTTCGGGGCCGGAGGGCACAGAACCCCACAGGTGTGGGGTGGGAGGCAGTGGGACCCCAGGAGCCTTTGCTAGGGCACAACTTCTTGAGCTGCGCTGAAGCCATGAGGACACCTTTGTCTGTCTGCCTGTCCGTCTGCCCATCCATTCATCCCCTTCCCACCAGCTCCCCCCAGCCATGATCTGCACAAACCCTCCTGGAAGCACTGCCTGGGGCCACCCTCGCTGTCCTTCTGTCTCTTCTGCACAGGACAGGATGCCGTTCCCATCCCCTCACCTACCAGCAACGCTCGGTTCCCAGCTGCTGGCCGCACATCCGTGAGGCTCCATCGCCCCTGAGGCCAGCACTGGCCGTGAGGCTGCTCTCAGACCTGTACATTTATTTACAAGAAGCCAAACGCACCGGTGTGGGCTCTCCCGCGTCACGGCCCTCACCCCAGCTGCAGGGATGGGGAGCGTGGTGCCATTCCTGCACCACGAGGTTGGGGCTCATGGGGACGAAGGAGGGGACGAGGGTTGGGTGGGAAGCGGAGCTGCGCCCGCGGCCCCGGCACGGCCATGCTGGCTGCGGGGGGACGCTGGCGGGCGGCAGTTCCTGTGTGTTGGTGGTCAGAGCTGAAGCAATCCTCCGGTGCGGGGGGAGCGCGGCCAGCTGCTCTGCATTAGGATGCCTTTATCTGGCGGGGACGCGTGAAGGAGCGGCCGTGCTGCTCCCCCGCTGGCAGCGCGGAGGGCAGGGGTGAGCAGCAACACAAAGGCTCCTTCTTCGCTCGCCGGCTCCCAGCTGGGGATGGATGCTCCTGGAAGCGAGCTCGGATGCTTCCTCCCTTCCTGTGCAGCCCTCCCGGCGAGCAGCAGCGCGGGGCCAAGTCCGGCTTCCTCCGGCGGGGAGGAGCGGCCGCAGCACCGGTCCTGCGCCAAGCGCCGGGGTGTGGATCCCCGCCTGCTTCAGCATCCCCGCACCGTGGCACTGGCATCGCTGCGGGAGAGGAGCCCAGCACTGCAAAAAGGGTCCAACGAAGCGATCGCGGGGCACTGCTGCAGCATTTACAAGCAGAGCTGAGCGCCAAGCGTGGGTGCGAGCGCGTGGGCTGCCCGTGCAGCGGGGCTCATCCTGAGCCGCCCCAAAGGCAACTGAGAGAAATGCGAGCGTGGTGTGGGTGGGACATTGATGGGTGCGGGGAATGGCGGCTGCACGGCCGTGGCAATGAAGAGGGGAGCGTTGTGGGGATGCGGATGGTTCAGGCCCTGAGGGTCCATAAAGGTGAGAGCAGGTGAGGAGCGCACAGAGTCTGTGCTCTGAGCAGCCCCGCAGCACCCGTACCAGCGCAGCGGCCACGAGGGATGCGGCAGAGCTGGAGCGGGGCCGGGGGTGGAGCAGGGTCGGTGCCAGCCCTCTGCCCCACAGTGGGATGGATGCAGGTGGGGCCGCCCCCGTACAGATCCTGCTGCGTCCAGGAGCCGGACTCGGGCACGGCCCCAAACCCATAGTCTGGCCCGAGCTCACGGTGCTCAGCCCACACCCGTAATCAGACACCCAGCGCCGTCAGCGAGCCCGAGCTGGTGATCTTCCTGAAGCGGTTGGCGGCACACACCCCAATGAAGTTTTTCTGCAGAAGAGAAGAAGAGAGGCGTGAGTCCCACTGCAGACCTCTTGGTTGCACCCAGAGGGGCTCCCAGGGCTGGTTCAGGAACCCACCCAGGAACATTCCGTCCTGAGCCCCTAAAATAAACCCTTGGGATGCACCCGGGGGGAAACTGCCTGGGGATCCTCAAGCCTTCCCAGGCAGTGCAGCAGGGTGACCTCAACCCCATCCCCTCCCACCCCTGCACACCTTCCAGCGCCGTCGCATGACGTATTTCTTGAGCAACACCTGGGACTTGAGGCGGCGGTTGCAGCGTTTGGCTTTCTCTGCCAGGTTGGTGAGCCAGGGGTGCTGCAGGCACTGCCCTGCACTCATCCGGGCGCTGCAGGGTGAGAGAGAAGCTGTCAGCCCACGGCCCCTGCCCACAGGCGGCCCCTTCCCGTGCCCCATCTGTGAGCCCTGGCATAGGCTGTGCTCCGACCACCAGCCTTGAGGGCCAATGGGAAAAGCGGGTCACAAATGGTCCCACACATCTCATTTGATAGCCCTAACAGGGATGCTGGGGACAGCCGGTGGCTTTGGGGATGCCAATGGCCCCAACACAAAGAATGGCACAGGGGTAGAGATGAGAGCACACAGGTGGGGGACCGCCGTGGCTGCTGCCAGCTCCACACCTCTTCTCTTTGATGATGAGGTTGGAGACAAAGTCCTTGGCCTCATCAGAAACGCTCTCGAAGGTCTCCTCATCGAAGTACCAGTTGGCTGCCAGGACGTTGTTGAGTGTTTCGGTGTCGTTGTCACCCAAAAAGGGGGAGAGGCCACTGAGGCTGGGGGATTAGAGGGCCAGTGAGCAGAGGGTCTTGTGCTGAGGCACACAAACTCCCCTG